CTTGCTTGCTTCACAAGTGATGTTTAGCAATTCCATAAGATGGGAGCGACTGGAGGCGAATAACTTGAGGTCATCCATATAGAAAAGGTGGGTCACTTTTGTCCCTCCCTTCCGTAGCTGAAATCCTCTCCCAGAGCTCTACAGTAAGGTACTGAGAGGGTTCAGAGAGAGGCAGAACCAGATTAGACTCAGACAATCGCCCTGGAAGATACCCCTTCTTATCCTTATGTGGTTCTCCGCAGCCATCATCCGCTCGCCCAGATAACAGAGGATCGTACTCCACTGCCCCATACACTGCTCGAGGAAGTCTCTAACTGTACAGTCAATCTTGTACAGCTCGATTATTATTGTTATTATTATAGGGAAAACATTTCTGTTTCTTAGCTCTTTGGATAGTTCTGACTGCATACACGGGCCGAAGCCAAGTAAATGCAGCGTGTAGTGAGTATTTATATAGGTGGGGTGTTATGGGTAGCTATTTCATTTTCTTCCAATTGCATGAATTTTCTTACAATTCTACAGGTATTTAAAGTTGCGGCTTTTTGGAGTATAATGTACGTTGAGTCTTTCAGGTTTATTAATTTGAGGCTATGGTGGAGATGGTTGGGTATGACACCCGTGGTGGAGACGACTATGGGTACTATATAAACTTTATTTTGTCTCCAAATTCTGGTCACTTCTTCTTTAAGCTCTGCATATTTGCTTATCTTCTCACCTATTGTTTTTTGTAAGTTATGTGTGTTGGGTATTGCAATATCTATTAGGTAGGTGATTATACTTACTTTGTCCTGTAGTGTTATGTCTTGTCTATTATAGTGAATGGCTCTGTCGGTAAGTATCATAGATAAATAAATATGTAGCAAGCTAGTAAGTATGGCGCGGTCGTAGTAAAGTTTGTGTGTAGGATTTTCTAAAATAGTTTGTGGAGTGTATTTGTAGTAGGGCGTGTTTTTGTCTTGTATAAGTTTATGTTTGAGTGCTAGTTTTTGATGAATGATGTTTGCTACTTGGTTGTGTCTGTGAGTGTAGTCTGCATGTGAAAGAGTTCTACATGCTCCTGTTATATGTTGTATTGTCTCTGGTTGGGTGAAGCACTTGCGGCATTTATCGTTGGTTACTGTGGGGTCTTTAATGACATATTTCCTCTAGTTCTTAGTGTTGATGATCTAGTCTTGTATTGCGATGATAAACCCTTCAGTTTCCGGGAATAGGTTGCCAATTTAAGCCATTTATTTGATGCTACTCTATCTACATGTGGTTGTTCCAGGTCATGTCGGTGTCGTCCGTGCAGGACTTTCTTTTTCCAGTCCTCTAACTTTTGTTTTTGTGGGTTATTAGTGTTATTGTGTTGTGTGTCTGTGTGTTCATTTAGATTAAGTGGAGTTAGTTAAAATCATTTAGGGCTACGGCATTATGAATGTCACTAGTTCGAGATTTATTGTGAAAAAATGTTTTGAGGCTACTAATTTGTTTCTGCCAAAGGTGTTGAATGTCTATTAGGCCTCTCCCTCCATTTTGTCGTTTGATTGTGAGTCTTTCTATTGCGGATTTAGGGTGCAAATTATTGTGTTTGGTAAGTGTGGTGCGTGTGGTTCTTTCTATTCGCTGTATGTCAGTTTTAGACCATTTAATCACTCCAAACGAGTAGGTTAATATTGGGATCGAGTACGTATTTAATGCTTTTATAAGATGTTTTCCAGCGAGATGTGTTTTTCATACTGCGTTTACTCTCCGTTTGTATTCTGTATTCAGTGTGTATTTAATTGCTGTACGATCTAGTCCTTTGAGTTGTCTGTATCCTAAATATTTATATAGATCTGTCGGTTCCATAGCTGTGTTTGTATCAGTAGTGTCAATTGTGTAGTCGCCTGGTTTTATTTTGCCTCTTATTATGTGTAGTGTTTTGCATTTATCTAGTCCAAACTGCATGTTGATGTCTTTACTAAATTCTGTTGTAGTATCTATTAATTTTTTCATTTCTTTTTCTGTTTTTGAGTATAATTTAATGTCATCCATATATATGAGGTGTGAGATAGTGATATCTTCTGCGGTGTTGTGTTTGAGTCTATATCCGGCTTGGCACTGATGCAGTAGGTGAGACAGGGGGTTTAGTGCGAGACAGAACCATAGAGGACTCAGGGAGTCACCTTGATAAATACCTTTCCTAATAAATATCTGTCGAGTTCTTACGATGTTTTCGTGGTAATTCAATTGGAGTGTAGTTTTCCATCGGGACATGATATGATGTAAGAAGTTTATTATTTTTGGTTTTATTTTGTATATACGTAATACTTGAATTAACCAGGAGTGTGGAATACTATCAAAAGCTTTTTTGTAGTCTATGTAGGTACAATGAAGTGTTCTATTTTTTGTGGTGACATGTTTGTGCACTATTGAATCTATAATTAATTGTTCTTTGCACCCCATGTGGCCTCGTCTGCACCCTTTTTGTTCTTCCGCTATTATGTTGTGGCGTTCTATGTGTTTATTGATTTTAGCTGTGATTGCTGATGTTAGGATCTTGTATATTATTGTTATTATACCTAATACAAAATAACACAGAGATGATATACAAATATACACACATACTCGTAATTCGGAATTTTCTTATTATTTTTATTTTATAGGATAGAGTGATAAACGAGCACACAGTCCACCTGGTGGTAAGTGGTTACTGTGGCCCATACCTAGACATTTATATCTTATCTTATGATTACGAATCAAAATGCTGATGCGTTGTCACCCGTGAGGACTAGGATGGAATGCCTCGTTTCCAGTAAAAAGGGTCTCCGGTTCTCTACACTCACCATACGAAACACAGCAGCATTAAGCTACTATTTTACGCTGCTATTCTGTGAGAGCGTGCTCCTTCCCCGGTCGAGCCGACCCATTTGTGCTACAACTATACTACTAATATAACTGCAGCATGGCTCTAACACGTTAAAAAAATTACAAGTGGTCTCTATCTATTAGTACCACCATTGTTGAAATTTCCCTAAAAGTAGCTATTCTTTTTCGGAAGCCTTTGGTATTCTAATAATAAATTACACTTATCAAAAGCGAAGCTCCTCTCGTCTTTAATTGCTAAGAAGGTCGATGTCCGTGTTATCGCCGAGACACAAACCTCGTCTTCTCGCCCATCAATCATCGGCAAGAAATGTGTCACAGGTGTTTGTGTTGCAAATCGTCACCGCACAGGAAGCCATCTTCTTATCGATATGATTACAATATAGTTACCATAGAACTTTCCGAGTTCGCCGTCTTTAGGTTTTAGCATTTTCAAAAAACCCTTAGAGAATAAAAATTTACTTTTGAAATATTATTTACTTATGGCGATTGTCATTTCAAGAATTTTCGTCAATAAGGAAAAGCGAGGACGTACTTAGGGCGGGTCGTTTCTAATGGTTGGTTAGCGTAACACACGTACATCAAATAATAGATAACTATATGATAATAATAGATACCTAACTATATAACGATCTTTTCTTTATATATAACAGACAGATTTGAACATTAGAACTACTTTATTTATTTTATATTAGACTTGCAACAAATTTTCGGCTGTTGTTCGGTATTCGATTATTGTTATCCTGATGATATCCTGAGATGTCTTATGGAGTCAGATAATTGGTAAAATGAAAATGTTGTTTATTTTATAGTAATCATTAAACTAGTCATAGGTACATCAAAACTTCCATATTATAAAAAAAATTAACAAAACAAAATTATCAATTAAATGTCTATGTTAAATTGTTAAAGTTACAGCCTATATACGTCCCACCGCCGGGCACAGGCCTCCGCTCATTTCTGAGAGGGTTTTAGGGCAAGGAATTGTTCGCGGCGCTGCCCCAGTGCATGTTGGCGAACTTCGAAGTATAAAGATGTCTTTGAAATATTTTCTTTCTTATTCCTCAGACATGCAGGTTTCCTCACGAGGTTTTCCTTCACCGCCGAACACGTGGTAAATCAGCACTTAAAATTGCAATTAACGATTTAATTGGTGCCGGCGGGGATCGAACCCGGTTTGCTCGCGTACTGTGAATTTTACAGCGAGCTCTAATCATCTGAGCGACCACTTTATACTTGAATTATCGTAATTACAATTTAGAAGTGAAGGATTATGAACGACTATTTTTTCTGCATTTTCAGGTATTAGTTTACCATTTTCTTCTCGTAGATAATATCAGCTTCAGGGAAAGAAGCTCTGAATAAACATTACTTCCTTCCCGGCTGAATACTTTTGGGTAATATTCGGCTATTCGGCTAGAAAACACAATATTCGGTATTCGGTATATATTCGTTGCAAGTTTTATTTTTATATCTATTTGTTTTTTTTTAAAGTGGGGAAGTCTGCAGTCTGTGAACATGTTCAAGATCGTCCACACCATTACATCGGATTGATAAACCACAAATCCTCGCAAAAGAACACCGATTCCTACCAAGGATGATTCGTGAGGCTATTGAAATTAAAAAACATCCTAATTTCAATAGAGAAGATGGATGGGTGCTGCCATCTGCTTGGGATCCTATAATTAACAAAATTAAACCCAAACCCAAGCATACCACTGCAAGACTTCAAGATACTGTAAGCCCGTTTTGCGTAGATCGGACAGAAAAATAAATATTAAAAAACTGAAGGTAACCGGGCTAACTATGACATTGGGACGTCAAACATCTCAGTCCCCCCGTGTCCATGGGTGCTGTAAAGCACCCGAAACGTCGAAAATTAAAAATAAGTAAAAGTAGTTAATTAAACGCTATAAAATCCGTAAATTTAGTTTTATTCAATGTGTAATGTTCGCGTAAATTTAAGAAATCATTTTATATCTATTTTATAATATTTGTGTTCATTAAAGTGCTATTCTATAACTATCCTCCAATATTTCTATATAAACTAGTTACTTAGATTTGATTATATTAGGCTTACGCCACTAACTGCTAACCAAACTGATTGATTTAAATTGGTTTGTAATAGTGATATTATTTATTACGGATTTCAGATTGCCGCCAAATCCACAGGTGGAAACTTTACGGTTTAGTAATAATGCTATCAAGACGTATTGGCCTGATCCTTTTAGCGACGTGCCCAATTTGAAGAGGCTTTCTTTCACTCAAAATGAATTGATGGAGATCACACCGGATTTGTTTACGAAAATCGACGGTTTGGAAGAGTTGGATCTCTCATACAATAAACTGACGGAATTAAATCCATTAGATTTTAAGTTCTTGCAGCACGTGAAAAGGTTAAATTTGCAGAGCAACCTTCTGAAGAAGATACCCATTGAAGCTTTGGAACCAATGGCTATGTTAGAGGACTTGGATCTTAGCAAAAATGCTATATACGATCTATTATTACGGACCTCTAAAAGTGAGCCATTTAAAGTTGTTAAAAGGTTGAGTTTAAACGGGAACAGAATAAGATCCGTGACCAAGGAGTCATTTCCTTCAAATAATAGTATGTAAGTGCTTGTTAGTTTTGGTTATTTAAATAACGCGCGTTAGATCATCGTTAAAGGTTACATTTGTTTAGAGCTTGTCTTGTGTTTTGTTTTATTAAACTATAATTACCAACAATTTTATACTCCACCTGATGAAAATTAGCTACTGCTGCCCGTGGGCACTTGCAACCTGCGAACAAAAAAGGCTACAGATGCGTTGTCACTTGTCACCTCTTGGAACTAAGGTCCGGTTTACATTTCAAGTTTACAAGTACGAGTGGCAAGTGCAACTGCAAATGACAAGTGCTTAGTGCGAATTTTATTCACACTTATCACTTGTCACTGCCTGTTCACACGCAGTAAGCACTTGTCATTTGTCAGTTGCACTTGCCACTCGCACTTGTCACTTCTCAAAATGTATACCGGGCCTAAGATGGAATGCCTCACAACCTGTAATTATACTCAGGGTCTCTATAGCCTTCGGACCGCGCTTTGCGCTTTCGAGTACGTTTGTCGTTTCTTCTATATGTATTTATACTATAAGGCCGGTCCAGTGCCCCTTCAGCTTTCTTTTTACACTGGGGTTTCTCAGTTAATCTTATTCTTTTGCGGATATCCTTGTTACGGATTTTTCCGACAGAGAAATTTCGAGCATAGCTCTTTCCATCTCTCGCTGATTCCATCTCGCGCTGACACCGGTTGAGTATCAAATACCTAATATTTACAATAAATTAATTTATTGTAACTTTCTGTAACATTTATATATTTATAAAATACAGTAAATAATATAGGAATATTGCTAATAGGTAATTTATTTTGTTTATATTAAAAATTCTAATAAAAAATAATTTTCTTCTGCAGTGAACTTCTAGACTTGTCCAACAATGTGATAGAGATAGTAGAAGAAGGTTCGTTTTTAACGTGTGTAAACTTACGCGAACTGAACCTTGCGCAAAACAACATAACGTTCACTTTTGCCCTGCCGTCTACACTGCAGATTGCTATATTCAGAATTAACACCTTATACCACTGGCCTACATTCCCTAGTGGTATCACTTACATCGATTTATCATACAATCGACTATCAGATATGTACAATGAAAATCAAGTCGATTTTGATAACTTAGAGGTAAGTGCATTTTATATTGAATTGTGTGAATCCTTTACTTTTTATCTTTATTTTTTAAACAAAGGTTATATACTAAGATTTCTCCTGTATCATGAAAACAGTTTACATAAACAAGGTGTAAGTGTAAACACCGTTGTCACTAAAACGATAGGTAGTTGACCTTAATATAAAATATTTATCCGAATTAAAAAAAACGCTATTTTCTTTCATAAAGGTTAAAAAAAGTTTCTGTCCGACACCGTCCGTAAATTCATGGATACTCTATGCACCCGAGTGACGTAATCACTGTAAAGATCACCGCCCGCTCTAGCAACCTACGCAACATTCCAATTAAAACACAATAGATACACATAACCTGTGATGTAACGTTTCCTTCATACTTTCATCCTGGCTTAGGACAGGCAAAAATTAAGGAATTAAGGAAAAATTGAGATTTTACTAAAAAAAATGTTGTTATTTTTCATGGAATTTACGTCCTATAAGTGAAACCAAACCACTGGTTTCAAGGATAACGGTGTTTACACTAACACCCTGTATACATTACACAAGGACCCGCAAAAATTATTTATAGGCCATACAAATATTTATCCGTGCGGGATCCGACCTGGAGCCTGAATACTAAGCCCAAAGCTAAACCTCCGCGCCAAAGACCTGTCTTGATTGAATATTTTGTCTAACTCTGTTTTAAAACTCAAATAAAAAACAGTATAATAAATTTATGTAGCTATTTTTAGAAGACTTTTTGTCACAACTCGGCGATATTTCTCGTATGATTGATGGTGATTTGATAATTGATGGTGTACTTCTAATGTGACCATTTCCTAATACCTACTATCAAAAGCTATATTTAACAGTGCGTTGGATGAAGCAAAGCAACAGCTGAACGTGCTAAGTGCAAAGGCATCACTACTATGCGATCAAGTCAGAGGCCGCTGGAAATCATAACACAACCTTGATTTGAAAACCGACAATTCGTGTTTTTGCTCAAATATTGGTTATGCTAAGGCGACGAATTAAAAAAGAACCCCGACCACTACATAATATATTTATTTTTATAGAATTAAGATGACAAACAAGCAAACAGTCCACCTGACGGTAAGTGGACGCTGTGATCCTTAGACATCTACATCATGAAACGAATCAAAGCATTTTGAATCTTAATAGAGGATAAACGAAGATATCTACATTCCACAACATCCACTTACCATCAGGTGGACTGTATGCTCGTTTGGCATCCTTATTACATAAAAAAGTGCAGATGCCTTGTCACCCCTGAGGATTGTGATGGAATGCCTTGTATCCAGTAAAAAGGTCTTCGGTTCTACATACTCACTCATCGAAACAGAGTAATAATTTTACGCCGGTATTCTGTAAGAGCGCGGTCCTTCCCCGGTCGATCCGACTCATTTGTTCTACAAATATACTCGTAACTGCAGTATGGCTCTATCAAGTATTTGGAAAGACCTCTCTCTGCAACTTATCTAAATCTAGTATTTGAAAAGAAGTCAACACTTGTAGTTAGAGCCGTGGTATATTCGGGGAAAGCGCACGCGTAATATTTCATAGAGTGCGAGCAAACAGAGTTAGATTTCTGCCGGCACCTACATAATTGCTTACATTATCAGTTATCACGTGCCCTACGGAGAGGGAAAACATCAGTCCGACACACATTGGAGTAGCGTAGCGCAGTGGACTTTTCCCTGATAAAAAATCTTCCGAATGTTGAGAAGAGGGCTGCGAGTTTTTTTTTATTGAGAGTAGGACATAGCAGACTGTTAGTTTATATTTTACTCTAATAACTTTTATTAAGTTGACCTGTATGTATGTATTAATGTAATTTTTTTTTAATTCTGTACCATTTTCAGACGTCATATCAGAAATTTTGCAGAAGTATTAAATTGCTGACTATTCAATAATTTCATCCCCATCATCGATGAGTGTTGTGTTTTTGGTGCTATATTATTTTTTCTTATTTCAGATTCTTAATGTCGCAGGGAATCAGATAAAGGATGTTAATATAGAAAAGAAACTACCAAAGCTATACAATTTAGATATATCGTACAACTTAATTAAAGAAATACCAAAATGCCTAAACAGTCAGATATTACCAAAGTTAGAAGAATTGCGATTGGATGGTAACCCTATCGAAGACGTTTATTTCAAAAACATTTTAGCTTTAAAAACATTGTATATTAATGACATTCATAAATTAATTACTGTAAAGGACAAGGCGTTTAGCAACGTTATTGGTAGAGGTGATGAAACGACAAATGAAAAAAATTGTTTCTATCTCTACATGTCTAACTGCGGTTCATTGAGCGAAATAGAAGAGGGCGCTTTTGACGCAACTTCTTTGTGCATGGTAAGAGAAATCATACTATTATGCTTACTCTTTTTTTTCTTCATAATACACATTCATTTCCTTCATTCAAGCAAGAATTCATCAACTTACGTTTCGGAGGTGTTATAAGAATTTGTAATTGTGAGAAAGTCCGGGCTGCAAGAAAATTGAAAAATAGGTTTTTATCAGATAGTACCTACTTAAGCTAAACTTACTTGAAGCTAAACCTATGACAGACAGTAGCTTCACAGCACACACCTGGAATTGCGATGTCGATTTTAAAATATTATAACGAATGTGAATTAGAAGTTTGTTTGAAATTTGTACTTTATTACTTTATCGAATAAAACCCTACCTATTTTATTTAAAATTATACTTGATTTTTACGTCGACCACATGTTGTTTTACTTTTAGTTTGTTTGAGTTGCATTTCATAAAATGCAACTCAAACAAAGCAAGACAACACAATTGAGCTGAATATTGCATTTTACCGTGTCGTATGTGAACATTCTGTCTCATAACTGTCATTAGAGACGACTATAGGAAATGTTAGAGAAATCTGTGCGATATAATATTAAAATATTTAGCGATATAATATAACCATGTCATTTACATAATGATTAAAACTACTTTTACGGATAAAATCCGTAAAAGTATTTTTAATCAACTCTTTTACGTCAGAGTCAGACATAATAATATACCCTGACCGTCGACAGGAAACAGCGAAAAAGTTGTGACATATCGACTTCTGCTAAGCGTGACAATAAAAGCAAATTCTCCCTACAACAGTATGGGCCCGTGTTCAGCATTGGATTTTGACATGCCGATAGAGAATAAGAAGAAAAAGAAAATTTTTGTGTATGCTTTATTAGCGCAATATCTTTTTTTTATAGAATAAGGGTGACAAAGGAGCACACAGTCAACCTGATGGTAAGTGGATGCTATGGCTCATAGACATCTATCCTCCTCCTAATCCTCAATTAAGCATCAAAACTCAGATGCGTTGTCATCCCTGAGTAATAAGATGGAATGCCTCGTTTCCAGTAAAAAAGGTCTCCAGTTCTCGACACTCACCATGCGAAACAGCAGCGTTAAGCTGCTATTTTACGCTGTTATTCTGTGAGAGCGTGGTCCTTCCCCGGTCGAGCCCACCCATTCGTGCTGCAACCATAATTTAGCTGCGGCGTGGCTCTAACCACGTATAAAATCTCCTATTGAATATGTACATTATTATCTTTCAAACTAATATTTTACAAGTGGAGTTTTCACAGAGAAATTAACCCAATACACGAACTCTTACAGATAGACATAAGTAAGAATAACTTGACGGAGCTATCTAAGAATCTTCTCGACTGGTCTTCTCTGACCGAGGGTGCAAATCTACAGTACAATCCATGGCATTGTTCTTGTCAGCTACAGTGGGTTTTGGATGAAATTTTGCCAGTTCTCTACAAGATCAATTCGCGACTATTGACTGAGCTCCGGTGAGTATGTATTTTTTTTAAATTTAAAATAATTTTGGTTTAGATTTTTCTTGATTTTTGTCAATTATTTACGTTTGGTACATAGTCACTTAAACGTTGTCTTGCATTTGTCAAGCGTTGCGGTTCGGTTTTGCCTTTGTTGTCTGTGGTCTACTTCTTCGTGATAATGTCACACGAGTTGAAGATGACCAATTAATTGACGAGAACCACTGACCTCTATATTAATTCGGGAGACATTTCTTTTGGATATGGGTTTCCAGGTTATCTAAGTTTGTAAAAAAATAAAACAACTGAACAAAGCTAATTTCCCATTGACCTCTTTATACACAAGTACGCTGGCCTGGCTATACACCGTGACATGATAAGGCAATTTGATTTGCGCCATTTTGGCGCTGACAGCAGAAGTGCACGTCCATGGAACTAATAATAGGGATAAGACAGTGTGACAACATATCTCGATAAAAATTCTATGCCCTACCTATACCTAAATAAATAAAATGGACTCTACCCGTAACGTCTCTTCTATTTATATATCATATTAATATAATGCGACTATCATTCATCATCATTAAAGCCCTTCACAAGTCCATTGCTGAACATAGGCGTCCCCCAAGAAATGCCACAAAGCACGGTCCTGAGCCACCTGCATCCATCAACTTCCTTAGTGTCTTACCAGGTTTTCACTCCATCTAGTGGAGGAACTTCCAACACTTCACCAGCCGGTACGAGGCTGCTACTCGAGAATCTTTTTCCCCATCGGTTATCGGTTCTTCGAGCTATATGACCGGTCAATTGCCACTTCAGCTTACTGGGTGATGTCGGTCACTCTGGTTCTACTGCCGATATCCTCATTCATAAGTTTATCCTCCTAAGCTTTACAGCTTCGGCAGTGCCACATATTCTAAGGGGCTTGATATATCGCAATCCAGGGGTTCTTGATCGAATACTTAATTGCCATTGTCGGTGGATGTTGAACCTGCCAAAAACCGTGGATGTAAACGATGGCCGGAATTTGTAAATAAGAAATAAACTAAAGTAGGGCCACTACGAAGTTAAAGCACAAATTAAATCTTGAGACTTGAGAGAGAATTAAACCTCTAGACTCGCTCGCTACTACTCGCTTACTAAAACCCCATGGTGTTCTACCTCCGCAGCAAATTGACAGAGCCACAGAAACGCTTTCCTGCACATCCGCGGCCCCTCCGGTGCCAGCCGCCCAATGGCAGCCCCTCCTTAATTGCTGACTTCTCCCCCCCGTTTTTCTTCTCAGATAAGGCGCACCAGAAACACAAGGCACACTGCCCTTCGCGGCCTCTGACTCCACCTGCACTACGGACTCCCCGAGCCCGATATGTGAATGGAGCCAGGAAAAAACGAGCACTTGGAAGCATCAAGTGTTGCAGCCTCACCAAAGTCGCGCGCATTGCCGATCGACATACCAACACTCCTCTTCTCTGGCGACTCCACCTCGACTACAGCGGTACAGGGAGAGGAATCTCCTCTAGTCAGCCCACTATCACACATCAACGTGGCTTGACATCATCAGGCGACCATTCGACACTTGACTATGGCCCTTGAGTTTGGGGTAAAATGAGGAAAGAAGAAATAAAAAAAAACATTCGGAATAATAATCCAATACTTTTATACTTACTGGTACTAGTACTACCAGAAAATATTGTCGAAATACTGCACTTTTTCAAAGTGGTGTAGTTCTCATGTCTAATAAAACAGTCGTCTGTGAAATGTTCACAACAAATATGATCATTTTGTTACAGATGCCAATCCACAATACTTATGCTTTTAAGCCATAATACGCACACTCTCATTGTTATTAAAAATAATTCTTATTATGTAACTAATATTATACACAATCAAACAACATAAAATACTTTCGTTTTTTAGTTTAAAATTTCAAAATACAGATTTTTTTAAATATGATAATTTAAATAAGACAACAGACTTTGGCATATTATGTCAATTTTAGTTTCCAAGAGGGGTGCTTCAAATTAGCACAGATATTTTGTATGGTACAGCCAGTCCAGCGTACTTGTATATATAGAGGTCAATGGGAAATTAGCTTTGTTCAGTTGTTTTGTTTTTTTACAAACTTAGATAACCTGGAAACCCATATCCAAAAGAAATGTCTCCCGAATTACTCAGCAGTTAGTTATATCACAGAATGGTGTTATATTTTAGTTTTTTTTTTTTCAGTTCTCTTTCTATCTCCCTCTCTTTCTTATATTCTCTCAGATAAATCCATTTATATATTAGAATTAATTACTCATTGCTTCTTTCATAATAGATGTGGATCACCACGAGCTTACGAAGGTCTACGTTTGGTGCATTGGTACAACTGGACCGAGCAGGCCATGTGTAGTGAAATGATGAGGAGATCCGGCCCAGGAGGCACTTATGTGGTATGGTTGTTTATTATTAATTTAAAAAAAAACTAACAACGAAGTGACTTAGAGTTTTCAGGGCTTTTGTTTGGTTTTAATATTGGTTCTTAAATGTTATTTTTCCTTAATTGCCTTTTCCGATCTGCCTTGTTTTATCTACCACTTTCATTCAAATTTGAACCAAGTCAAGTAAAATTATAGCCTATCTCTTTTCATTCCTGAGATAGAACTACGCGCGACACTTTCGATAGACTTTCTTTGAGTTTTACAGGCGGGTTAGCATCCGCGATTATTTAACTATTTTGAGCTGTCATTAGAGAAATGCTGCTACCCAACTACTGTTTAATTTTCCTCTATCGTCTCTTACGACACCCTCGGAATGATATGATGTAGTGGATTCTCATCATCATCATCATTTGCCTCATAGGGGATTTTGCCATAGTTATTTGAGTTGTTATCAGGTATATGCTGCTGCCCATCTCCTGCCTGTCTCCCTCTGTCACCTCTTACGACACCCACGGGACGATATGGGTTAACGGATATTCTTACACCGCCACTACACGGCTTTATGTTTGGTTTTGATAGATTATATTGCGTACTACTTTACAAACATTTTCCCACTTTTTCAGTTGGAACCTTCAACCGACAGTGACTCCGCCTTTAGGGTCAGCACTCTCACACTCATACTAGGCGCCTGCATCATTATTGGTCTGCTCATAGTCATAGCCCTGTCAGTTTACCTCATAAAGAACAGAAGACGGCATAGGATACGACAAGGAGCTCTAAAACGAAAGAGACAACGTGCTTCCGACGTTAAGAATACGAATGGAACTAATGGAGACCAGTTCACATTTTTGAATAAAACTTAAGTACTAAAAAGTAATAAAAATTAGTATTACACTAGTTGTTGCTATCAGAGCTGCTTAATGAAATGTTGGCCAGTCAATATGTTCAAATCATATGCACATGAATCTTATTATCAATTGCACAAATCAAACAATTTTCTGTAATAACTTTATACTTACCATGCTAACGGATATTAGTTAAATCACGTTGGAGATGTATGTAGGTACTCTGAGCGTAGTAGTTATACCAAAAATAATTTATTATAATGAATCTTATAAAAATATTTATATATTTATATTTAGTAGGTAATTTATAGTACCTACTTTGTTAACTGGTGCTTAGAGATTTCGAAAGACGATGAAGATCAAAATGATATAATTTTACAAAAGGCGCAAATATTTTCTATTTTACGTTCCAAAAAGGCAATTTTGTTTTTTTTTTTCAATGTTGAGCAAATTATATAAGATTTTTCGTTTATATTCTAAGACTTTTTGTAAATAGACTTTTCAGCCAATCATATAGGTAATATGTATATTATATGAGTGCACGAATGTTTAATATACCTTTAAACGAGCAATTCTTGTATATACATACATATATATATATATATATATAATCGGAATCTCGGAAACGGCTCCAACGATTTTCATAAAATTTTGTGTGCAGGGAGTTTCGGGGGCAATAAATCGATCTAGCTAGGATTTATTTTCAGAAAATGTCTTTTTGTCCGTGTTTTTAGGCAATGAAAAACTGCTACAATATCGTTAGAATAAGAAGGTAAATTTTGACAGCCTACTAATGATTACAAATAGCTTAATTAGTATATTGAGCGGTCACAAAATCGCAATACATGGTTCGAGCCCAGACCGACCGACCGACTTTTTTTAATTTTTTTTTTCAAGTTCCTTTCTTTTTTGAGAAAATCTATTTTTTCGTGCCCTTTTTTTAGTATTTTTTAAAAACACGAAAATTTAAATTAAACTAATTGCACTCATGATTTTTTATTCAAATAACCAGTTCAGTTTTTTTCTATTATGTCGCGCCACAGTTTTTATTTTTTTTTGGCCTCCAAAAACACGAAAAAATTAAACTAATTGCACTACATGATTCAAATAACCAGTTCGCTACGATCAAAAAATATTATTCGTATTTCATCAGTGTGTAATTTGTATCTAAATATAATCTCCAAAACACACGAATTAAAAAAAAACCGAGCGAAAAATACCGAGCAAAGCTCGGTCAACCGGGTACTGTTTAATCAAACAGATAAAACATGTGAGAAACAATATAATATTATTTGTATAAAACATGATATAAAATTATGACACTAAAAGGTGGTGTTGGTGGTGGTGGTAGAGCCACGCTGCAGCTAAATTCTGTATGGTTGTAGCACGAAAGGGTCGGTTCCACCGGGGTAAGACCACGCTCTCACAGAATACCAGCGTACAATTGCAGCTTGATGCTGTTGTGCTTCGTATGGTGAGTGTAGAGAACCGGATACCCGTTTTACTGGAATTGAGGTATTCCATCTTAGTCCTCAGGGGTTAAATGTAGAAAAAAATGTAGATGGAGGAGGATCAGGTGGATTGTGTACTCGTTTGTCACCCTAATTCTAAAACAAGCGACAGTAGCCTAATTTCAGGACGCGGACCGCGAACTCAAAAAGGTCGTAGGTTCGAATCCGCCATTCGACTACTGGCGTGAACCACTCGTAACACAAGCAACTTAAGCTTACCACGAGTGGTTAAGGGGAATATTAGTAATGTTTATAGTATTGTTAATATTCTTTTAAAAAAAAACATATAAAAAAGGTATTAAGGAAACAAAAAAACAGTTTATAAAGAAGTATAAGTAAAGAAATTGAATCTAAAATTGTGTAAAAGTTCTAAATGTCAAAACCAAAGAGAATAGAGGTTATCAAAATAAAACATAGTTTTTGTGCGGTTTTAGCAAATTTTCTCTCTTTTTAAAGATAAGTATGCAGAACAGGGAATCTGCACAGTATAGTAATCCAGTCGGTAATCCAGTAAAAGTATGGGTTATCGTCGGTCGTAAAGCGTTGGAAAGTTCCAACATATTGCACAAAGATTTAGATTTAAATTCACTAAACCTTCACTTCTCCGCTTCGTCCAAATTTGATGGACCTGATAATGCTCAAATTTTAGAATAGGTATCTATCTTCTTTACCAACTCCTGACTTTTCACCCTTTTTGTTCGTCAACTTATTGATTGTGATGTTAAGAAGAGCAAATCAGCCATATCGTCGAATGCGGCTTAGCTCGTGTCCTGAATGACATTGTCCATATCCTAACCTACTTGATGGAAAGTTTCAAAGTGCGTGGAAGGAGGCTCATGTTTAAAAAACGTTTTAAAACTCAAAAGCCAAATCGTTTCAGGTTTTATGATTACCTATCTTGATTCTCCCGTTCTTCTCCAAAGTCCTAGAGACCTAGAGCGTTGTGTATAGCAGCAAATCAGCGTTCTTAACACATACAGCCTTAACCAAATTACATTTTTTATCTACACTTTAATACGTAGTAGAGCCATTCTGCAGCTATATTAGTAGTATAGTTGTAGCACGAATGGGTCGGCTCGGCCGGGGAAGGACCACGCTCTCACGGAATACCAGCGTAAAATAGTAGCTTAATGCTGCTGTGTTTCGTATGGTGAGTGTAGAGAACCGGCGACGCTTCTAACTGGAAACGATGCAATCCATCTTGGTCCTTATGGGTGAAAACGCAACTGCATTTTGATTCGTAATTGAGGATAGATATAGATGTCTATGGGCCACAGCAACCACTTACCATCAGGTGGACTGTGTGCTCGTTTGTCACCCTATCCTATAAAAAAAATATAATAAAGTTGAAGAGATTTTTCTGCTTGTCTAATCTCTGGAACTATCTGTCCGATTTAAAAAAATATTTTTGTATAATAAACACGATATTAAAAATTTTTTTTTGTATATTATAGCCAGATTCATTAAGAAGATACTAGTAGCACTAGGCTACATTTCACAACTAGCCTTAAATATTTTGTAAAGCAAGTCAGACGAAAAAGCACCAATAACTACTTTGTCCGTGGGCGCTGGCGCAATGGTTAAGTGATACGTGAATACAATGTTCTTCAAAAGTATAGATCTTTACTCCATCTATAAAAAACTAAGCAATACCATATGCCTATTTCGTATACATTAGCCACAATAAAGTATTTTGTGAAAAAAATATTGAAAATCAAAGTGATTTATGAGCATTATTATTAGGAATGGCATATTATTCGTTACAAATGAAAGTTACTTCATCATCAAGACAATTTTATGGAAAACATTGCTCCTTATAGCATGTTATGTGGGCGCATAGTTTAATAGATAATGAAAAATTAAAATGATTCAACACTCGGTTCAGCGCGCGAACGACGCATAATATAAGCCTAGCCGACCGATGAGAACCGAGAGAAACCAGCAGTGAACGCCGATGCTCGAGGTGTGATAATATATAAGCATAAGCGAGTTGTCCACGAGCTTTTACATTTAACACTCTCTCGGCGGTGGAGGAAAAAATCGGGAGGAAACCAGCATATCTGAGAAATAAAAACATATTTCGAAGACATGTGAAGTCTGCCAACCGCATTGGGGCAGAGCGGCAGACAATTCCTTGCCCTAAAAACTCTCAGAAGGAACAGGTTGCCTGTGCACAGCAGTGGGATGTATATAGGCTGTAATTTTAATGTTAACTATAAGCGAGGTGTAATGTCGCGCGGCTCAGACGCGTGATATACGTAGGTAAAACCGCAGGGCACAGTTAGTTATTAATATGGAGGGTGTGATTGACTGTCGTTAAAACCACTATTGCCTTCCCTGATAATAATTTATTACAGAACACTCAATTATTACCATTCACAAAATTACACTATGTTTTTTACTATATTAAAATATACTATTTTAAACTGTATACAGATAATTGTGTAATTACACAATTAGCTGTACACAGTTTAATTACACCATTCACAATCACAATTATTTAATATACTTACTGTTACATTATAATTACTGTTCTTTTCGTGGCGAAAATAGTCCGCTGCGCTAACCTCACAGAGTACTTTTTATATACCCGAAAGCACAGAAATCTAAATAATAAGACAATTAGATTTCTGTGCCTAAAAGCTACCCCAGTGCGCGTTGACGGACTTCACAGCATGTACTCGAATTAATTATTTTTATTTCTCCAGATATACGGGTTTCTTCACGATGTTTTCCTTCACGGCCCAACATGTGGCCAGTATTATGAAATAATACCTATAAATTCTAGCCATAATTAATTATTATTATAATAACTTAAAAATTATAGTCGCCTATCATTATCATTACAAGTACACTGCTGATCATAGGCCTCCCCCAAGGAATGCCACAAAGCACATTCCTGAGCCACCTGCATCCAATGTTATCTATAAATGTAATTATTCTGTCATAGTTGATAATTCTATTTATATGTAAATAGAATTAAGTCAATAAATATATAAATATTGTGTTGTAGAATATAGAAATACGATACACACCTTTGAATAAAACTAGTTTTACGCATTTTATAATAGAATACAAAATGAGTTAATATACGCGATACAATCCGTAAAAACTGGTTTTATTCAAATGTATAGGTAGTGTTCTGATGTGTAGTGATAAAGCTGTTTTCACGTAAAAGTGATAGTTGTAAATAAAACACTGTTTTGTACGTCTCATGTTATAACATTTTATGGTTTAAAGAAATATATTGTTGATTTCAAATTATATAATACAGTTTTATGTTGTTTTATTTCCTCAGCGGATTGATGACTTTACGTAGCGTTCGTGGTCCATTCCATTTGCCCTTTATTAATCTTTTCCAGTAAAGATATGGAAAGTAGTTTTTGGTCAATAAACCGATTAGCTTATGTTCTTTACTCTGAAATATAAGATTTGATTGTTTGTTATAATTACTAAGAAAAATCAAAATACATTTAGATCATTTTATGAAATTGTGATTAAAATATT